TTCAAGAAGTTTTGCACTACTAGACATAAAAGGCAATAATGATACAATAAGAGGAAAATGTACACTCATGCAAACTAAATACAGAAAAATATTATTGAACCGAAAGCCACACATACACCAACTGGACTAACAAAATGTTTCTTGCACAGTTGTAACTCTGACTTCATTATAGGCAACACTTCTAGAGTGAAATCTGGTTGGAAACCACTCTTGCTGACATTTTAAATGTCAGATATACACGCATACTTCGAACAGTATACCCTGACTTAGATAAGGTATTGAAGAATTTTCATACTGGATCAGAAACTGGACAGTCTGAAGGTTTTATAAAGTATAGAGATGAAGAAAATGTAGAAGAAATATTTCTTACTGCCACATCATTTCCCCATAAAATCACCTTCAAGAGAACATGCTAGATGTTTGTTTTAGGAATAAGGAGAAATGTCACTTCAAGAAACCTGGACATCCTCATTCATATTTAAGCTTATGCATATACAGCATGCCATGATTTTGTTTCCAACAACAAAAAACAAGAAAACATTCAGGCTACACAGAAACTATGTATTAGCCAGGGCTACTCATCTCCATACAATGCTAAAACAGCTCCAGTTCAAAACATCATGCAAATCCTGGGTACTTTAAAGATGATGAAAACCAGAAAAGTGAAAACAATGAAAAAAAGATGTCCTGAGTTCTCAACACATTTAAAATCTTGCCAATATCAGAGGGGAAAAAGATTTTTTTTTGTGTTTCCCACCTGACACTTCCCACTGAAGACACTATGCCCTTGGGATGGGAACATTTACAAGTTATTTAAGAAAAGGTAATTAAATTCAGTGAAGATTTTCCCCAGCTCTGCAGCTGGACAGTAGATGTGATCATGACAGTCTCTTTTTGGAAATGCATGGAGGCTCACACTCCATCATGCTGCTGTTCCCTTTTTAAAGTTGTGAAGAAAAGTGACAAGTCCTTTGCAGTTTATAGCAAGGCAGTCTAGCTAAGGAATAACACCCTGATATTCCTGATGCAACTAATTGCTTTGGAAGAGATGCACTTGAGTCCTGGGGTTTAAATCCTTAACTTCAGTACATGAATATTGAGCCACTGAACTGACGTGGTAACAAGGCAATGACAAACAGCATCTAATTTTTTTGGAAGCATTGGTTACTGTGCTTCAGACTGCTTATACTACACTATTCTTTCATACTTACCTCCAGCAGGAATTAATTTTAAGCACAACTATCTATAAGAAATGAAAAATAGCGAATTTGAATAGTGGACAAATAGTTCTGTGGGATCGCTGTAAGAATCAATCAAGAGGCCTTCAAATGACATTTCTGAGGTCAATGCTTTCCAGTAAATCATCAAGTTTGCCAGTAATAGTGCCATCAGAGATGTTATCAACAAGCACCAAGGAAATCTCCTGTACAGAGATACATTAACCATTTCTTGAAAGAAAAGATCTGTGTTTCTGCTCTAAGAACTGCCCTAAGCCATCCATCTTTTTCTCCAGCTGTGAATGCTCCAGTAGCGGAAATTAAAGCAATAGTTAAAATAGGTGGAACTACTAGGATTTTTTTTTTTCTAATTTTAAATGACAGAAACCAAGGATATAGATCTACTGAGTTTGAACAGCCATGAATGCACTGTATCTTGTAAATCCATGTGTGTCTTATTGAAAGAAAATATACATGGAAGAGACAAGCTTATTTCCTGGAAGCTAATTGAAAATACCAGTGTGCACCAGTGTGCTATGTAACTTGCCACTGAGATATTTACATTAAAAAGTAAAAATAGTGAAAAGAGTGATTAGAAATAAATTCAATAGATGTTTATTTTCTTTGGATGGGGGCAGGGTGAAAAAGCCACCTCTTGAAGATGCTGATTTTCAGAACTGTCTTCATGACTAAGGAGAGGAAGAAGTAACAGACAGGAAAACAAATGAGAAGAATCAATCCCAAATTCTGCAAGCCCATAGAAATCTGATTGCTTTGGAGGAGAGGCCACAAATCTTCAGTCTGTGTGCAGGCATCCAGTGCTGATGCAACTCCTCTTACTGGTAGAAGTAGTCAAAGTCTCATTGAAAATGGAGTACTGTCATCTGAACTCACTTCTGGAAAGATTTAGAAAGTGTAGGAAGGTGTCCCATACTGGGTTATTCTTTTTCCTGCACTAGGATCAAAGAAATGGTGCTGTGGTATAACAAATATTTGTTTCTGCACAGAACTGCACATATGTGTGCATTGTACAGCACTGTATGTGTGTAATGTGTACAGCATTGTTCTGTTTATGGTCTAAAAAGACTAACAATAGTTGAAGAGTAAATGTTAGCTCAAGTATCTGCAGTAGTGTGTGTTAAATGTATACATGTACTCTGCCTAGACTTTCCTTCTAGACAGCTCCTTCAAGGACAGATATCATCTATACTCTGCCTTGGCTGTATGGTACAGAATGACTTGGGGTTAAATAACTAAGAATTTTAGTAGTTAAAAGTGCCCCAAACACACATTCTTGTGCCAGCTATGCTGCTGAAAATCTTTAACAATATCAAGTAGATTGATGGAGTTACTCAATATTTATCTTAGAGTAAGTGAGAACAGAATTCAATCTTGCTGCCACAGAGTGAATGTAACAAAGCCATACCTGGGAGGAACTACACTCCCTGCAAAGACCCAGAAGCCTCATTGATGACCATTTAGAAAGGTGTGATGGCCATTTATAAAGATGCATGACCTCTGGCTGACAAAGTGATAAAATGGAGTTAAAGCAGTGGAAGCAGTATGCCCCTTTTAAGTATACCTTTACAGCTTGCTATTAAGGGCCAAACTCAAAAGCATTTCAACTGAATCTTTCTTATTTTACTTCTTCAGGTCCTAAAGAGGAAACTACTCAAGCTTCTTAAAAGAGGTAAAAAAAATATAAATAAATCCCTGCTGAAATCTTGTGTTACAGAAGAATGACTATGAAATGAAAGATTTAAAGGATGGTTAGAAATTTGGAACTTCATTATACAAATAACACTGCATCTTTCACTACCTTCTCCAAGCAGGCTTTCTGAGTTCCAGATAGGTTTATTAAACTGCCACTTACCTGCTGGTGAAACAGTGTGTGAGCCAGTATGCTGGTAATGCTGGAAGCAAGATAGCTTATAAAGGCAATGAAGCCAACACAGTCTTTACGTAAAGGAAAGATTAGAACATCTAAATCAAAGAGAAAGACAGTTGTCTCACTGGCATAACCTTGAATTAGAGTCATTTTAAAATCAATCACCCACTTTCTCTGAGAATGCTTATGAGGAAAAAAAAAGATGCACAAGTCAAAAGGAAAACACCTCATGTTTGAGCAGATTAACTATTCCCCTCCTCCTGATATTTATAAGCTTCCCTACTAATATTTGTGAGACTGCAAATCAAGTTTATTCACAAACAGACCATGTTCTGTATTATAAATGTTGTCTAAACACTCTGGTAATTGATTGAGATGTCACAGGATGTTTACTGTCCATCAGGAAGATTGTCGCTGTCTTTGTTTTTCAATCTAAGACCTTTACCAAAGACACAACTGGCTGCAGAGCTGACAAGTTCATGAGAGAGAAAAACCTCAAAAGCACCAATGTCCAACTGTACTAATTTGGACAAAATTAAGATATCATCACAGAGAACTGTAATTCAGGTCCTGAAGAAAGAAATCTGTAGAGCTTTAATAGCATTTCATGGGGAGCTGGCAAACCCTGTTACAGAAACAAACAGGTGGGAAAGAATAACTTACGGAAAAAAACCAGAAGATTGACTTAAAGACAGACTTCCCAACTGGATTCATTAAATAGAGATTAGAAGACAGTGATGTTGAAAAGCAGAATCATATTCTCAATAGCATAAACTGAGAAAATTTGATTGCTACCACAGAACCAAACAAAAGCTCAAACCTATTACAGAAAGGGTGAATTGGGAGCTAAGAAACTGAGATTTTGTTCATGTCTGTGCAGGACTGCTGAAAACTCAAACTGCCTGTAACTAGCAGTTTGACAGCTCCAGCGTGAGTTTAGCAAATCCCTGGCCCTTACTAATTGGAGGTGAAAACATTTAGCAACACATTCAGGAGCAGGGAACCTAAGAAAGAAAAAAAAAAAAGCAAACAACGTATATTCATCGTACTCTGACATTGTCTGGATTTCCAAAGAGGAAAAAAAGCCTTGCTCTTCACCACCCTCAAGGCAGTTTTCATCTTTGTTTTCCAAATTCCTTTTCCTTTGGCCAGTTGGACTCACTGTCCACAAAGATAACTATTAGTGAAAGCACGTGTGGCTTGGAAGAATAGGACACAGTCAGCAAAAGTGTTTAACAGGAGAACTGCATGTTTCTTGCTGTATCTTTTTCCCGGCTTGCTCATCATTTGAATAGCCCCCTTTAAGTATACCTTTACAGCTTGCTATTAAGGGCCAACTTCAAGGGCACTCATGCTATGTTGTGTCAGGTGGTCCTCATCTCCTAACAGATGGAAGTTCTTTGCACTGCTTTGGACCTGAAGATGCTCATTAATGCCTTGGAAAATAACTGTGGAAAGTCCTCATCTCTTGTGCTGCCAGTTTCTTTTCTAGTTCATAAATTCAATATACAATCTAACAATGCACAGAAAAGTTGATCCCATCAAGTGTAGTGGATGAAGTCTGCTTTGAAAGTGAAGAGTCATAACTCATAATAATGACATTCAGGGTCACATACAGTACAAAAACCTCAAGTTTTATTTTTTATTTAAACTTAAATAATCAGAAACTACTTACTTACTGTGAACAAAGAGAGTGGTGCATTTATTTAATTGGATTCTGGTAACTTTCCATGTTATTAAAAAGAATTGGGAACATGATTTACTCTGTGATCATTATATTATCATAAAGATATTGAGAAAAGTAGAAAAAAGCCCTTAGAGAAGTCTTCAGATTACATTAGGTTAACAATCTTCTATTACTTATCTGTGTATCTATGATCAGATACTATTTCTACCTGCTCAATAGGGCTGGGTCCATGGGTGCACAAGGGACAACATTGTTCCTTCAGTTCTACAAGCAGCTCACAATACTCCCAGCCTCCAGGAGGCACATAAAATACAAACCTGCAGGAGTAAGAAGACTGATCTGGATTTATTGCCTTTTTGACTTGGCTGTACAGGCTCTTTACTATACAGCAGAGATCTGTGGTTGAACTCACTATTAACATTCTTGCATGCCCAAATGGCAAGAACTAGTAAGGCTTGTATTCAGATATTGATTCTGGACGGTACCATGAGCATATGGAGAGGAAGTCAAGTCTACCGAATTTTGGAGTTGAGAAATAAACGATAACAAAGCACCTTCACAATCACAATGCAATATGATTTTAAAGCAGAGTAATTTTTCAAATGTTAATCATGGTTTATGATAGGCCCGTATGCAAGTTGAAAGAACATGTCAAAGAGGAGCCAGGAGCTCTTCCACTATACTTCCAAAGAAACATTACCATATAAAACAAGTGTACTATGACAAATTACAGTAAAAATAGCTAGAATTGCATATCATAAGTTAAAAAAAAAAAAAAAAAAAAAAAGAATCTGTTACCATATTACCTAAAGCATATTATTTCTACCTGTTGAGCCATGAAATCAGTAGACAGTTCTAGTTCAAAGACTAACAATACAAAGTAATTATAGAAAGCTGTTATCACCTGTAAAATCTCTGTGAGACTACTTTCTAGTTCTATGTATGCAAAAGTATAGCCTGATTAACACTCATAACGTGCACATTCTCACTGCAGTTTCAATTCTGAAGAGCATATGGGAAAATAAAGTACTTTCACAACAGGTGAAGAGACAAACAGATAAGAAGTTACAGAAAATAGTAACTACATAAAAAAAAAAAAAAAGTCAAGCTTTCAAGAGAAGCCATCGACACTAAAGTTGATTAGCAGAGGAGTGCATGAGAACTAGGACTCTAGATTGGCCAGAAGAGACACAAACACTGCTTCCACATTATTCACGTTTTCTCCATGCAGAAGACAGGGAAGAGATCAACTATGGCATTCCATACCACACTCGGTAAGCCAGGCAAAGAAGTTTCTCTGTTATAGTGTTACAGAAAAGGCAACTGCTTATAAAGAATCAAAACTTTTTCAAGTAGGCTTTTGATGGTACCCAGTAAAGCACTGACAGGTAGGCTAAAAACCATACACAGAACAAAAACTAAAACTCACCCAGCTAGTGAAGACAACAACCATAGAGCACTCCCCCTCACAAAGCAGCCTAGATCTAACAGATACTCCCTATTCAGTGTCTGACTCTTATAAGAGCCTAGCATGGCTCCACCTGGGTCCACCCCTTCTGGTCAAGTGGGGAGCACAGGTGCAGTGTGTTTGTGCTCTCTCTAGACACACCTTTTCACCAGGTGTTCAGTCATCAGTTCAAGCCCTGACATAACAGTTTCCCTAGAGCGTCTATTATGCTGTGCTATCAACAAAAAGGAAATGACAATTGTTTTGAGGACAGATTGCTGGAGAAGACATTTGCAGAGATTTTTCTGAAGCATACTACAACCTAACTGTCTTTGGCTTGCAAGTCAAGAATTTGTGAATATTTGCGATTTTATTATTAATAATCTAATATTTGTTCAAAGATATTACTTGTTCTTTTTCAGTGACTTGACAAATATAATACAAAATTAAGATTTAGGGAATGTCTAGAGGTACACAAATAATGAATTTATCCCCAAGGCAGTGCCATATGTTCAATGAAATCTTCAACAGGAAAAGATTCCGCCAATTTTTTAGATGTTAGCATGTTTTATCTTGTATGCTGAAATAGGATGTGTGATGATAATTCACATAGTACTTCAATGCCAGTTGAGAATTTTTTTGGGTGAACTTGGGTTAAATATAGTCCAAGGTGCAGCACATGTATACTTCTGCCTCCAGTCATCCTTACTTGGTTTCTAGTTGCACGCAGCTAAATGCTCTTGAGTGTAAATGTACAGTTATGGTGCCAAAGCAATGGGAAGCTTGATTTGTCTTTAGTTATAAGCACTTGAAGGAACAGTGGAGGTAGTCGGTGTTATTTTCTTGCACAAAGTGGTTGCAGCTAGTGTACTGGAGTGAGGGGAAAAGAAGGAAGAGAATTCCTTGATCATGTTCTCTTGCATGATGAGGACAAATTCAGGAACCAGAAGCCTCACATGCTTTTGCTCTGAAAGGCAGCTTTCACATGGAGTGGAATGTTCAGACACAGCCTCAAATACAGGAATCTAAGATGACTGAAACATTTTCTATGAAGTTCAGTATATTAAATCAATAGTATATTAGGAGCATATTTGGTCATCTTGGAAAAAGTATACTGATTTCTTCAAAAGTGACAATAAGAGTAGTCAAAAGGAGCATATTTTAAGGGTGATTAGCTGTCTAGGATCACCTTCCCTTTTTTCACTCCTAATTACTGTTTGCTTTTTCCCCTTTCTTCCTTTATGGGGGAAATGCTAAACGAAGAGAACCTAGAGGAGGCATTTCATTATTTATTTCCATACAATTATCCACTATCAAAGTAACAGTGTAATTATTTTCACCTTTGAAAAGTAAATACTGTGATGGATAACAAAGAATTCCTGCTAACAAGCTTGTCACTTCAATTCCATGATTCTTTCATTTGGAAAAAAAAACAAAATCCAACAACCATAAAAATCCTGAACTTTATATTTTATTTCTCTTACCAATTTTGTTTTTGAGTACTGGCAACAAAATAATTGGTTTTATAGTAGTTTCAGTGAGAGTTCTCTTCACTGATAAAATTGCCTTTAAGAAATAAACTTATACTTCATTTTACAGTACTTTTACATAAATTATATTTGTATGTAGATCGGGATTATACTTGTTAAAAAATGTGTGGATACAGGAAATGTCTTGAAGATATTTGGTGTCTTATGAACTTAAATTCAAGAAAGCCTTCAAGATACATATACTTTAGGTTTGGATTTCTTTTTTTTTTTTTTTTTTTTTTTTTTTTTTTTTTTTTTTGCCACATAGTTTTTTGAAATTTAAGAAGAACTGATACACTAATTAAAAGGGAAATATCTAAGACTTTGCATTCCACACTTCCAGAACCGCAAGGTAGGCATACTTCCTTGACCTTGATAAGCACTGTTAATGATGACAGACTGTTGCATGTGTTGGATTAGCTTTTGACTTTAAATCTTCTCTGGGATAGTTTGCTTTTTTATCTTTTATTGGTTGATGGGAAAGCTGTGCTTTATTGCTTAATTGTAAAATATGTAGTGTACTAAGGTTAGCAAAAATATGTTTCACATTAGTAGATGGTCTTTTGACCTTCTATTTTAGTTTGCTACTGACAAGTTGAGCTTTTAGTATAGTTATTTTCTAGAAACTCATAAACTTCACAGTAATTGCATGGGATCACTATTAATACAACATGATTTACTGCTTTGAAACAATGTTATTATATTTGACAATTTATTTCTCATTCTAAAAGTATACGTCCAAATCAATAAATACATTCTGTACCTTCATGTTCTGTCTATAGGTAGGACAAGGAATCTGAAAGCTTCTTAAAAAGAGCGTGGCCAGCAGGTAAAGGGAGGTGATCCTCCCCCTCTTCTCTGCCCCGGTGAGGCTACATTTAGACTACTGTGTCCAGTTCTAGACTCCCCAGTTTAAAAATGACAGGGATCTCCTAGGAATCTAGCATAGGGCCAAAGATAATAAAGGGCCTGGAGCATATTCTCATATAAGGAAAGGCTGAGTAACTTGGGTCTGTTCAGCCTGGGGAAAAGAAGACTGAGAAGGGATCTGATAAAAGTTTATAAATATCTAAAGGGAGATGAGAGGCAAATGGATAAGACCAAATTCTTCACAAGTGGCGTGGCATTTGGACTCATAGAGAGAAAAAGAAGAAAAAAAAAAAGATAGTCATCCTGTGTCTGTATTGTCCTCACTCCTGTTTACAAATCTTTAGGTCCAGAGCCAGAGGTTGGAGGTAGTGAACCTTGAGGAAGCTTGACTGCGTGTATTTGTGTGTGTATATACATATACACAGTATAGTATTGATTGTTGTATGGTGTGGTCAGTACCCCCTATAGATGGGATGCTGGTTCGTGGGAACTTTGATTATCAGTACAAGCTGGAGGATGAAAGCACTGAACATAGCTCCAGTGAAAATGACTTGAGGGTACTGGTGGATAGGAATCTGGACATGAGCCTTCAAGGTGCCCTCGCAGACCGGAAAGCTAACCATATCCTGGGCTGCATCAAAAGAAATGTGGCCAGCAGGTCAAGGGAGGTGATCCTGTCCCTCTACCCCACACTGGTGAGACCTCACCTGGAGTACTGCATCCAGATGCGGAGTCCTCAGTACAGTACATGGACCTGTTGGACCACATCCAGAGAAGGGCTGTATAAATGATCCAAGGGATGGAACACCTCTCCTGTGATGACAGGCTGAGAGCTGGGGCTGTTCAGCCTGGAGAAGAGAAGGCTCCAGAGATATCTCATAGTGGCCTTTCAGTATCTTAAGAAGATCTGTAAGAAAGAAGGGGACAAACTCTTTAGCAGAGTCTGTTGTTACAGGACAAGGGGAAATGGTTTCAAACCATAAGAGAGGAGATTTAGAATGGATATAAGGAAAAAGTCTTTTACAATAAGGGTGGTGAAGCGCTGGAACAAGTTGCTCAGAGAAGTAGCGGATGCCCCATGCTTGGAGACTTTCAAGGCTGGGCTGGATGGGGCTTTGAGAAACCTGATCTAGCTGTAGGTGTCCCTGTTCATTGCAGGGGAGTAGGACTAGATGGTCTTCAAAGGTCCCTTCCATCAATTCTATGATTCTATGATGAAAACAAATCCAATAATGAATCGTTTTGCAGGACAAAGCTTCATCAAAAGATGAAGGTGATAGAAGAAAAGAATAGAAAGCAAATGAAGAAGCAGACATTATCTTGGTGTCTACTGCTGCAGTGTCTGAGCATACAATCATTTTCAATGTGTTTATCTGCATAGTACCCTTGAGGTAAAAAAAAAAGTCTTATTTTTCAATAGATGCAAATGGGTGAGTCATGGATAAACTAGGAAGAACTTATTTACAGTGAAATAAACCCCTCAGCCTCCCAGAGCTTGTTTTAGCCTAGCTATAAGTATTAGCATAACTGCGTTGAACAGCAAAGGCTGCACAGAACTGTGTTGGAAAGTGGTAATTCAGGTGCATCTGAGACCTTAGACCTGTAACCTACTCTTTCTCTTTACAAGACAGCTTGCATGACACGGCACAAGCTTCAGTACTGACACCCCTGGTCTGCTGGCAAACCCCATGGGCTTGATGGTCTGCCGAGTGCCAGCGCAGAGCAGAGCAACAGAGTTTCTGTCTGACTTGTCTGCTTTGCTGCCAAGGTCTATAACAGAGCATCGAAGGAAGGAGACAGGAGGATAATGATGACACAGAAATTTTCAATGCTAACTTTTTCTGATATGGGCTCCCAGCAGGTCAGGCAGAGAACAGTCACTAAGGTGATCAGAACTGTGGCGGTGGAGAAGGATCTAGAGAGCAAGATGTATGAGGAGCAGCTGAGGTCCCTGTGTTTAGTCAGCACAGAGCAGAGGAGCTGAGGGGAGGCCTGATGGCAGCTGCAGCTCTGCTCTGTGACAGCAACAGGGCTTGAGGGAATGGCATGGAGCTGTGTGAGGGGAGGGCAGCTGGGGGTGAGGGACAGGGGCTGCACCACAGGGCGGTGGGCATGGAATGGGATGCACAGGGCTGTGGGCACAACCCCAAGCTGCCAGAGTTCAAGAAGCATCTGGACAGTGCTCTTAAACATATGGTCTGATTTTAAGTGGTCCTTTGTGGAGCCAGGAGTTGGACATGATGATCCTTATGGATCCCTTCCACCTTGGAATATTCTATGATTCTCTGTATATAGGCACAGTAAGCTCAGGTCAAAACAAAGGTTCAGTCAAGTCAGTGCTCTTACAGTTAGCAGGCACTTTTCACTGATATGATTTGGTGGTATTGGGGTTATTTTCATTTAAATGCAAGACTGTCAAAGTTTTAGTGAATATTTATGGTTTCTCATCAGGGCTTGAAACTCAACTCTAAATGTAGTTAAAAATCAACAAAAGAAGCAAAGATTAGAACAGCAACTATTCGTGTTTTAATCTTCCTCGGTTACAAATAATGAGTTATCAATACTAAAACAATTTATACGTGGAACATGGAAAAATTTTCCTGATCTCTACGGAAGTTTATCT